TTTTTAAAAAGAATTCTTAAATAAAGCTTGTTATGATTTTTTTAAAAAGAGTTACCAAAAAATTATCTTAAGTTTATATCAAATTATTTTTAAAAATAATTGTTATAAATTTGTTATTATAAAGAAAATAGTACTTTTAAAGGCTTTTTAAAGATTTATGGTAAAACTAGGGCCCTGTGAATTGGCAGTTTTTGTTCGAATTGGTCTTGATTCGCAACTCAAATCACATTTTGAATTAACATTTTGAAGTCTAAATTTAGGCATTTTTTATTTAATAATATATATTTCAAAATAAAATAAATAAAACAATTGTATAATCTCTTAATTAATGATTTTTGCCCTGGTTAACCTTTTTAATGAATGATTAAAAAGGTATTTAAGGACAAGTAACGTTATTTTGATAGCGCCAAAGCCCAGATTATCTAAAATACCCATAACAAAAACAAAATAAGCAAGTATTTTATTTTTGGAAATTTTTGAATCGTAACTTGAATCATATTTTTGATTTGATTCAATTCAAAAATTCAAAATTTTTGCAGGCCCATAGGTATAACATTTTAATATAACATTTTTCAATATAATTTTCACTAGGCAGCAATATAATGTATAAGTTAAAGTTGTAATTTTCTGTTAGTTAATTCACACTAACAAATATTTTATGTATGAGAATAAAAAGTGTTGTTTTTAAAAATAAACTTTTCCAGTTTATAAAGTATAGTAGGGCAAACAAAATGTACATTCGAGATGTTTGGATAGAAAATAGACAGAAATAGAGAGAGAAAATACGTTTGATAATTTTTTGTGTTAGCCATCATCATTAAATGTAATAAATTGTTTCAAAGAAATGCATGAACCGCATTCTAACTAATACAGATTTAAGCTGCTCAAAATTAAATGTTGTGGAGATAATATAATTTTGTTTATAAACATCAAGTCATTACTTTTTTTCCTTTCTTCTTTAAAATGTTCTATTTCTGTATATGTTGTTTTTAGTGTTTAAGATATATTTTTTATTATATAATATATTTAAAACATAGTTTTAAATTGAATGATTATTCTTAGATCATGAGATAATTTTGAATTTGCCACTACTTTTTATTTTACTTGCGATACTCACATAGAACTTTTGTTCACTACTAGCGATGGAACGATAGCAGATAGCAGATAGCGATACTCAGAACTATTTTTAAAGATTTAAACTTAAGTTAAAAATTTATTCAAGTATTACTAGTTTTAATTTGATATTATTTATTATAGAAACCACTACCATTCTTATGCTAGAGAAAACATAATTCAACCAAAAATAACCAACAGAGTAGTAAGCAAGTACCTACTCCTTTAACGCCAAAAAAGAAAAAGAAAACAACTTTTATGCATACTCTGCATACTGTAGCTCAAGGTTTTAATTGTCTGTCTGCAAGTTGTTTTAGGAAGAAAAGATTCTCAATGTTTTTTTCAATGCTTCAGTAGTTTACACATTTTATTTGTTGTTAATTAATATATTTTATAAGTGTTTTAAAATTATTTTTTTATTGTTGACTTTTATTTGTTTGTTATGACATTTTATTTCATTGTTATGACATTTATTTTCATATTAGCATTTAGTAAAAGCTATTTTATTTCTAGTATTCTAGTATTAATTATTTTTTTACATTGATTGATTTACTTTTTTATCTTAAAGATATTTAGATCAGCAATAGCAAGATAAATTTTTTCCTTCCCGCTTATCCTAAACGTGGGGCAACAAGTTGATAAAATATTTTTTGTACTATTCTCAACTAGACTATTAATCAATAAATTTTAAAATATTTAGTATTATCTCACAGCGTTCAAAAATTATGACCATATAAAATTTGTAACCTTATCAAACTGAGTGGGGTTTAAACTTTTATATAACCTTATCATAATTTTTAAACGCTGATAGATAATACTACGAAATTTAAAATTTATCAATGAATATAAGTCTAGTTGATATTTAACTATTATGGGTCGGGAGGCTAAGGTGGAATGAAAAAAAGGGAATGAAATTTCGGGGCTTACTTTTTTCCCAACCTTCAATCATCGCAATTTTTGCAAAGCATCATTGTTTGACATAAGTATAAACATACAAATGTCTGAAGTTTGCTCCAAGTCTGAAAGTTACCTAAAAACGCCAAAAAACACTCCGTCAGTAAAGATTATTATAAAAATTATATTAAAAAGATTGTATCAAAAATATTTATTATTTATATTTATGCATGCAAAAAGATTTTATTTATTTAAACAGAAAAGTTTAATTTAGTAAAGAGAAATTAATGATGACCACCAAATTTAATGATGACCACCCTTGACAACCCAAAATTAATCACGACTACCCTTGACAACACTTAAAGTAATCACTTGTGTAATCATAATGACTCCAAAATTAAAATGAGGCCCAAAACTGAAATCATTGGCCTCAAAAATTTCTATAAATATGTATCACATGTCAATATCTTTCCACAAGCAAGCGCTTATATTTTTGTTATTTTTTATAATATACTAGTTTTAATACTATACTATATTTGATATATAGTATAATATTAAAACTAGTATAATTTAAAAATAAATAAAATTTAAGCGCTTGCTGGTAAAAAGAGCATGAGTTTTTAACAAAAGGTATACATTAATTTAATTTTTTTTTTTTTTTTTTGTATGCATTTAGGTGCTCCCAGAAGTCCTTACGGTCTTATCATAGAGCGCGGGTGAGCATTTAACAGGAAGTTTATGCCTCGTACCAATGTCGCTTGTTGGGCTAGAGCTGGCATCGAACCTCGGACTTCTGAGTTCTGAGCCAGAACTCTAACCACTGCGCCACGCTCATTTTGAATTTTCTGCTTCCAAAAGTATGCGCGATTTTAATTCCATTTTTATATCGATTTATTTCAATTTTTAAATTTTTTTTAGCGTCATTCATATTTATTTTATTTTTTAATTTTTATTTATACTGTGTTACCATTTTAAGGTATTGTTTTATAATTTATAATACTTAGATAAGTTTTAATACAAAATTAAGTTAAAATATGATTCAATTTAATTTTAGAGGTTCACAAGTGTTCAATTGTGTTTTCATTTTTTTCTATTCAATCCCGGGATTTCCCAAGGACAAATTTCTCAATCCCGAAATCTTGATTGAAAATTTCCGGGATATTTGCCTAATGTTAAAATTATTAGAAACGTAAAATTATGTAAGAAATTATTATTTTCTTTGATTCTTTAATATTTTCTTAGTTGGGAAATACATAAAATATTATTTTTTTATGGTTTACTTAGTTGCTAAAGCATTTATGTTAGCTAGTTACTTTAGCATTTACTTAGTTGCTAAAACATTTATATAACATGTAAAATCCCCACTTCTTTTTTTTTTTTTTTTAGTTGAACACGGTGCACTTTTTATTATCTTTTCTTTGAAAATAAAGTGGTTTACTCCAATAATTTAAATTTTTGAACTTGACTAAAAAATATAAAAGATGCGGAATAAAATACACCCAAGTCTATTGGGACAATCTCAGTTTTTTCAATTTTGGGCATTTTACTCAACTTATTTTTGTTGTTTCTTATAACATACAAATTCCATAATGCGTTGTATGACGAATGCATTGAAAGACGAGAAAAATTTATTTGATGATTTGTTTTGAGAAAAGCAAGTCTCAAAAAAAATCATTGTCTCAAAGTTATTTAAATATAAGATATACTTTTTCACATTTATTTCCCATTTAAAGTTACGCACAGACTAAAGTTTTGAAAGCAAAAAATATTATAATAACAAAACATAATATATTATGTTTTGTTACTATAATATAGTAATTTGTTACGGAAATTATAATACTTGTAAAATAATAATTTATGGTTCCTTAATTTATTTTCGATTAAAAAGGGATATAAACTTTGAATAGAAAAGTAAAACGACAGACGCTTTTGAAGCATTTTTATTAAAATTTTCTGAAAAAATTTGAAGCATTTTTAAGAATTAAAATACTTTTTAATAAACATAGACTCACAAAAAAACTTTTTTAAGTATTTTATAATTATTAAAATTTGTTTTTGTTATTATATTTACTTTATTGTTAATTTTTTACTTGCATTTTAAACTTCTATTCAACACTACGGCTTTAGCTTTTGCCCTTTTTACAAAGGGAGGATGGATATAGTTATAAGAAAAAAAAGCGGTTTCACTTTTTTGTCCAATAAAATCCCGCAAGTTAGACATCTAGTTATATAATCATAGATCATCCAGGTCATATTTTAAAAATCTGGAAAATCAGTAGGGTAAAATATCCGGAATATATTTTCCCTAATATTCCTAATAATTTTGATTTTAGCTGAGCTGTTTTTAATTTTTTTTTTTTAACTTTTCTTAAGTTTTGTATGAGAGAAAAAGCTTAAAAAGCAAATATATTACAAAAATATATTTCTAAACTTGTATGTATAGAAAACATTTTTGATATCCGGAAAAACTAAAAGTTGAGAAAAATATCCGGAATTCCGGAAAAGATAATCCCTGTATAATATATCAAAAAGCAAATAAAATTTTTTTTCTCGTCGATTAGCATGGGGCGGATTAAAATATCTTGTTTTAGTATTTAAATAAAAGCAAATCTAAATTTCGGCTAGAATCAAGATTAGAATCAAGAGTAAATAAAAGCAAATCTAAATTTCGGCTAGAATCAAGATTAGAATCAAGATTAGAATTATCATGATCGCCCAGCCTGAAGCTGGCGATGGAAATGAAGTCTAAATTCAAGATAATCTAGATCGAATTATTAACAATGAAATCGATGGTAAAATCACATAAAAAAGTACGGATGTTAAAAGATATTATTGGTGATGTAAAAAAGGAACAAACTTTAAAATCCATGCTAAGCGAGGATCAAACCTCAGAAGATGCTACAACGATTTAAAAATGATTCCGCCTGTGGAGTCTGAAAATATTTTCTATGGATGTTGAACTGTGCGGATTTATCCAAAAATAACAAAAAACATTTTATTATTATTTTATTACTTCCATAGTTCTGAATAAGCATTCGTGTTTTACCTCTCGGAAACGAAGATAATTAAAATATTCGTATACAAAAATAACAATTCAAATATTCGTATACTGTATTACGAAAATAACTTATGAAGATATTTCAAGTATTAAGTCATCTTCATTAAGATTTTGACCAGGCTTTACATAAATTTTTTTAACCTATAAAAAAAGGAAAAAATGTTTTGAAAAATGGTCAAATAAAAATTTTAGACATTCAAAATTTAACAACTTACAATTCCTGTTTTAGAAATAGTGAGGGAATTCTGAAGTTTCATTGCCTCGATTACAGCAACTTCTTGACCCTCAAACACCTAAAAGTACATACACCAAATATATAAAATATATAAAAAATGTAAATAAAAAAAATAGAAAATAAAAACGTAAATTATAAAATATTTCATAAATACTTTATCTCCAACTTTACAAGATACAGAGATAATAGTTCCCGGCATTGGTGTCTTCAGAAACGGAGAAGCTTCCTCCTACAAAAATGTTTATATAAATAAAAAAATTTAAATGAACAAAAAATTAAAAAAATGTATCTAATGAAAATTTTAGTTTTTAAGTTATATTAAAAAAATATTAAGTTCAAAAAACGAAATTAACAATTAATCTAATTTTTAAGGTTGGGAAATTAGATAGTAATTCAATTTGTATTTAAATTAGTAAAGTATGAAACTCAAATTGGTTGATAGTATAAAATTAATATATTTAAATATGAACTTTTAAACGAAAACTTATTAAACAAATAATATAAATAAGATAAAAATTTATGAAAAGTAAACAAGGCTAAGAAAATTCATATATTCTTAGCAGGGCTGTGGAGTCGGAGTCGCGGAGTTGCAACTCCGCGATAAAAAAAATAATAAATGAGAACAAGAAGTAGATTGTACTATTTTTGTTTGATTAGTAATACTTTTTTCTCGTATCAGCCCAACACAAGGGGCCATAATTTCAAAATCAGAAGAGAAATTGTTAAAAGTATTAAAATTCTTAACCAATAGAGTCTCATCAATGTGAAACAAACTACTAGATTTTATCATCAAAGAGTTAAAGCTTGAACTTATTCAAAACTTGCATTGATAAATATCTAGAGCTATATGATTTGTAATTTATAATTTAATTTATTTACCTAGAAAAATTATGTTAGAAAATAAATGTATTATATAAAATTATTTACTTAAAATAACTATACAATGTATATGCTGTCAAAGTGAAATTAATTACTATTAATTTCACACGTAGTTTTCAAACTACTACAGCTTTCTATTATATTAAACTTTATTCATTTTAATTTATACATTTATTTATACATAGAAAAATATATGCCCAAGAATAATAGCTAAGATTGTTCGAATATTATTATAAATTTTATATATATATATAAATTTTATAATAATATATGTATAAATTTTAGCTTTTATTTCTTCAAACAATTGATTAAACATGCTTAGATGTGATTAGGGTACAAAAAGTTCTAGATGATGAATTATGAAGATTGTAGCCTCGCTTGGCTTTATATGAAGAAGAATTAATGTAGCCTCGCTTGGCTTTATACGAAGATGAATTAATGCTTCCCTCGCTTGGCTTTATAAGCAGATGAGTTATTGTTATAAAGTTATAAAGAGTTATAAAGCCACACTTGGCTTTATATAAAGATGAATTAATACTTCTTTCGCTTGGCTTTATATGAATATGAATTAATGTTTCCCTCGCTCGGCTTTATATGAAGATGAATTAATATTTTCATCGCTTGGCGTATATGAAGATGAATTATGTATTTAAATCAGGCATGAGGATTCTAAAAAAGCACTTTAAATTAGAAAGTTACAAAAACATTGTTTATGTTCTTTGGTATCCAGGAGCTTCTAAAAATGTAAAATGACCCATTAAATACTCTTTCAAAAAAAAAGGACTCTTAAGATACGGTAACTATCAATTTTTAACCTTAAATTTTAATGTATAACGACGGCTAGGGTGGCTAGGGACATCAGAACTCCATGCTAAAAAACATTAGGTTCTATGTTTAAAATCTTGTGAACTATTTTTTTAATGAGGTTCATAGGTCTACTGACATCAAAAACAAATAGTGATATAAAACCGGAGTTCTTTTTTGGGACTCCACATCTGCTTTAAATGGTAACTTACTTCAGTGTTTCTCCGCGCAGTGGCTTTGTTCGTCAAGATTCGTGTTTCGGAGTAATAGAGTTGAAGGATGGTTATCTCAAACTCTATAACTTCGAAAAAAAAAATCACTTTTTTAAAAACAAATATAACAAAATGTTGATACACACCGCTGATTGATTATCCAAAATTTTGATATAGAGTTTCAAAAAAATAATATTTTTGAGGTTAAATTAATTAAAGCATTAAAAATGTAATAAATACCATATCCTGTAAAAATCATATGTAACATGACCAAAAAAGTCTGTTGCCCTTTTGAGGGGACAAAGTATATACCCTTAGGTACCTAAGACATAAAAAATTTAAATCTTCTACTGACATCCGAGCCGGAAAATTCACTTTGATTTTGATAAAATACTGCTTTTTTAAATACTTGACGAATGTATATGTCCTCTCTCAAATACACTTATAAGCAATATTTTCCTAAAAAAATACAGGTTTGCTGAAATTCAATTTTCTAAAAGGATTTTAATAATTCCAACAAAATAAACTACAAAAAAAAAAACAAGGTACATAAACAATTTCACTTGGAGACAAAATGATGTACAAAATTTTCCGAAGTTTTTCTACATAACAAATTCGTTCAAATATTCTTCTGTCGGTATTTTAATGACTTCTTGATGGCTTTGTGGTTATTGAGCAATACTAGACTTTTTGTCCTTCTTTACAAGTCCTTGCAATCATAGTCGAGAACACATTTAAGGAAATTATGACCATACTTAGGGTGGCTTAGTTGTCTATTGTATCTTTCCTAGTGCACCTTGAAATTGGCATGTAAAGCCTCTGTTGTCTGTCACTGAAAATTCCAAGACTTTGTCCATGAGGAAATGGAAAAAAACTGTGTGCAAGTAGGGCGAAATTAGGTTCATGAATGACCCTTTGAACTGATCATTTTTTTCTTCGTAGCTGAGATTAAGGAAGTTTCCAAAGCAGGTAAATCCCATCTTGTTGAACTTTTGAAATGTTTCTATGAAACTAGAAAGGCTGGAATGCATAATAAGCTTAAGAAATATTCTGGAGTTTGTCTATGTTTTGAAGCAACTTGTGGACATGTCATTAAATACATAACAAAATTTTCAGTTTTATTAATTTTTTTTTTTTAAGTAAATTTTATTTGAAATGTAAACCATCACAAGTTATTAAACAAAGGTTTATAGTAATTAGGGTTACTTAAAGTTAAAAATATTGACACTTTAAAATAATATAAAAAATGTGCATCAATTCATGACAATGAAAAAAAAAATAAACATTTAAGGGATGACGTCATGTATTTACATGACATCGTCCCTGAAATTTTAATGTGCGTCATTTGACGCACATTAAAATTTCATAACCATAACAAAATTCACTATTTTAGTGGCAAATATTTGTTATTGCGGTAGTGGTGTAGTGGTAGAGCGCTCGCTTCATAAACGAGTGGTTCCGAGTTCGTTCCCCACCACGTCCCTGGTAGTACCGCGCTCAACTCGTTTCTCCGCGCAGCGGCCTTGTTCGTCAAGGTTCGTGTTTCGGAGTTATAGAGTTGAGAGAGGGTTATAGCCACAAATAAGTAGCCTCCTCGTCTGTAGTGGCCTTCTCGGCCTTGAGGAGGTGAATTAAATTAAAAAAAAAAAAAAAAAAAAAATTTGAGTCCAAAAATAAAAATTATAAAAGAAAAGGCTATTTGGCTACTTTTAAACAGGTAAATTAATAAAATAAAAATAAAAAAAATTAAAAATAACTATTGTCTATATGTCAATAAATCAGGGGTGTGGAGTCGTAAAAAAAAAGTAACGACTCCGACTCCAGTTGTTGAAATTTTTTGAGTACAACTCCGACTCCAACTCCAAAGCAAAATTTTTGAAAAATTCTTTGAATTCTTTAAAAAATATTGCCCGGTAAGTTGAAATTTGTTTTTTGACAAATTTATGAAACATTCTTTGATGTTTAGTATGAACATAAGCTTAATTGAATGTTTTGTACATGCACGTGCAATACCAAGAAATTTTACTATCGGAGTCGGAGTCGCGCTATTTTTTAGCGACTCCGACTCCGGTAAAATTGTTGCAACTCCGCGACTCCGACTCCACAGCCCTGCTATGAATATATGAATTTTCTTAGCCTTGTTTACTTTTCATAAAATTTTTTATTAAGCCAAAAAAGTTCAAACAAATCTTTTCGAAAATTTTGATGTAGGTAAACAAATACACTATAACTAGTTTTCTTAGTTAGTGAAAATTATCCAGGAAATCAATGACAAAAATAATATTTGGAACATTTGAAAAAAGATCCAGTGAAATTAACTTAATATCATAATAAGGAAGCCCAAAGAAGCAAAAACAACAGAAATCAAGAAAGTTAAAAACCTCCAAGAAAAGCAGGCATATTAATAAGCAGAAACTCTCAAGAAAAACAACAACAACAACAACAAGCTATTTATTTTCCGTAAATCATTTTACAATAGTTTTGATAATAATAATAATAATAATAATAATAATAATAATAATAATAATAATAATAATAATAATAATAATAATAATAATAGCAAAAATATATAATAATAACATTAGATAAAAAATATAATTATACAAATTATAGTAATAGTAATAATAAGTATTTTTACAATGAAAAAATAATAATAATAACTAATATTAATATAATAATAAGTTTATGATTTATTAGGATGGTGTCACTCATACAGAAATCTGATCAATGGAGTGACACCATATTTTAATATAATATAAGTAATAATAAGCAAAGACACACACTGAAACACATGGATCGTAAACACACAAACCAAAGCACATAAAATATACATCAAAACAAACATGTAGAAATCAATTTGCAAGTTTTACTAATAAAAAAAAATTAAAAAAAAGTGCTGATGATAATTGCAATAATTAAGAAAAGAAAACTAAAACAAAATTAAATCATAAGGATAATAATACCAAAAAGTTAGAAATAAGAATAAAAATAAGAATGCCAAAATAAGAATAAAATGTTTTTTAGAATTTTTTAAAATTGATATTGTTTAAGAGGGAGTAAAGGTATTTTAGGATATATTTTTTTAGACTCATTCAAAATGCATGCAAGGCTCCTGTTCCATTCACAGACGCACTGATAAACAATAGAACGTTTACCATACTTTTGGGTTTTAAAAGATGGTACATTTAGTTTTCCATTGTGTTTATTTCGAGTAGGAATGTTTGTGATAGGAGATGGTATATTTTTATTTAAGGAGTCAAAAACAAAAAGAAGATTAGCATATTTTACTAGTGCTGGAAATGTTGGAATGAAAAGGTTTTTGAAGGACTTCGAT